CATATTCATGCCATCAGCTAAAATTTATATAGGAAGACACTCAACATGATAAAAGTATTGAAACCCAATTTACCTAGTCTAATAATATTTTCCACAGCCCTTCTAACACAAACTATTTTCAGTATAATAATGAAATCATTGGTTCCAAGGAGCATCAATAGTTGTAAAATACAGTAACAATGCTATATAGGTCAAATTTCCTACTTTTACTCAAATTCTTATTTATTACCTAATTTCTCTTAGGCTCTTAGACCTGGCCTAGGTGATATCAGACTAATTTATATGCCTAATAGTTATGGACATATACTGCATTTTTTTTTTACAATTTTACTCATTAACAGCAGATATTTTCTCCATGCACCAGTGTTTCTGTTTTTGTTTTTTTTTAATTATTTCTTAAATCACAGAATACAGAATCATAAATAAAACCAGTTTTAACAGGTCAATTTCATCAAGAAGGAAATGTTTTCAATCCATCAGGATGTATAAGTGCTCAATATTCTGAAAATAAAAAAATGCATTTCGGAATTCTCATGTAGGCTTCACCATTTAGTTTCTATAGAAAGGTGTCAACTTTTAGGTGAATCTAAATACTAATGACATGGTTTATGCCCTAAAATGACAAATTCTAAAACACTTCACTGTTGATTATTCACCAACAATATAGTCTCATTTTCCTTGAAATGCCAGATGCCTTGGAAATTTATACTTTCTCTTTTGGGCTACAAAAAAACATGTCAGCATATAGAGTTTAAGGAAACTGTGGAAGATAACTGTGTTCAAATTAAGTTTAGTTTAAGCAAACCAAAACAAAATTATTTGTAGGAAAAGCAAATGGAATCTAGAGAAAGTACATCCAGTAGTCTAATATCAGTAACCTCTTTTTCTGTCATCCACTAAACACAAGGTTAACAAACAATATGAAAAGCAAAATACTTATACATTTGGGATAATTTGGTTAAGATCACTGTTTTGCAACTATTTCTATAGTTGGGGAGTCAGTGAGGTAGCATGCTTTGGAGTGCACACAACAAATTACATCAGCTCAGGAGAGGTTTCGTCCTTGACACACACATCCAGGGCCTCTTGCATATTCCAGGTCCAGCATGTCTGGAAAATATGGCAACTCCAGAAGATAAGTTCAGGAGACCCCTTAATAATGCACAGAGCAACAGATAGAAGAGTACTAAGAAGGTACTACAACAGAATATACACATATGTGCCAATATGCATTATAACATTGTTTGTCCATCAAATTTTGCTTTCTTCAATCAATCAAACAAAATAATAAGCAGCTTGCAAAGCTTAGAACTTCTAATTTAATTTTCTCAGAAATACTTGGAGGTTGCAAAGGGCCCATAACAATTATAAGCACACTTCATTTAAATTATTACTAGTCTTCAATAGTATATTTGCATAGTTGCTTCATGATAGCCAGTATTTTAACTGAAATTCTTCAGAACTATTTTCTTTCCCATTTGCCAAGTAATTGCTACCAAAAACATAGAACACTCTTTCAAAGGCAAAAATTCAACCAATGTTGCATAGACGCTAAGAGACTACATAGATATTCTTAATTTTGAAACATGTCATGTAATAAGAAATGAGGTAATTACATAAATGGAAAAGGTAACAAGGTGTGGGGCAATACTCTGTTTTAGGCAAGATTTTTTAAAAGGTTAGAATTAATGCAAACAGAACATATTTGAAATGGAGAAACATATTTAGGTTTGAAACCTAAGTTTCAAACAAGTTGAGGTTGTCATACATAAACAATAAATAAAAGACCTTAAAATCCATCACTGGATGGATCTACATATATCTAGGAAGATCTCACTATCAAAAATTAAAAAGAAAAAATGATATTAGAGTATTCATTAGTGAGGAAAGACAAAACTGGACAAATTTTTGGAGAAGATTCCTACCTCCCCTCATCCCTGACCAAAAAAAACAAAAAACAAAAAAAAAACCAGACATTAATGACAGCGCCTTGTATTCTTTAGGAAAAGGGGATTTTTCTTATTTTAATTTTACATGTATGGTTTTTTTTTGTTTTGTCCCTTTTTATGTATCCATATCTTTCTTATTTTTCCCATTAAATCTCTAACTGGATTTTTAAAGTCCAAAGAATCTCTTTTAACCACAACATAATTCTCATATATACAATTTTACACATATATAACCAATACATAAATCCATACCCATATTTCTAGAAACTGATTGCAGTTTTGCCTATGACTTTGGCAACAATGTTAAGAACCAAAATACATCTTTAACATCTCTGTCCCCATCCCCCAACTCCTATTTTTCTGAGAATTCAGAACACAAAACGTCCCAAAGAAACAGAAAGTACAAATATAACAAAACTGTATATTGAATTTTGCCTTTACAAATAATAGACCATACTTATCCATTAGTAAAAGAGTAGACCTATCTATATGATAACTTTGTATCTAGAATACTATTAATAGTATTTATAAAGTCAATATTTCTCTGCCTGCACATATCAGGATAAAATGCCAGGTACTCATTTTATGAGTCTAAATGGAAACTTTAAATTTATGCTAGGCAACTTTTTGGTTTAATTTTTCCTTTAGGAGTTACTACCCTAATTTTTCATGATTTTCAGTGACTTCTATAGGTACACATAAAGATGGTTTCCTAGACACAGAAAAGTTGTATATATTATACAGAGTACAGCAATCATTTAGTTCATGGTTTGAAACATACTTGGTGTTAAGAGCCTCAGGAAAAGGTAGATCTCTTCTCCATAACCCATCATTCTCAAGGGTGTTAAGTATAGTGAAAGGAACACTGGACTTGGAGTCAGAAAACCTGGGTTTCAGGTCTACCTTCAATACTTACTAGTTAAGTGTACTTCAATGGGTCATTTGACTTCAATGATTCTCAGTTTTTCCATGTGTAAAACGGGCATGGAATCTGCAAGTACTTGATGGGATTATTGTCAGAATCAAATGAGAATACACATGAAAATATATTGCAATTATAAAGCATTGAAAAAAATTATTATTAATATATCTTTGAATCATTCTCTCTCATCTAAATCCTTCTAAAGAAAGCCTTCTTTTCCATCTCTGAATTTTTCTGTAAATGGAATATTTCCCCAAGGCATGTTGCTTGTACTTATATAAAGAGAAGGATGCAGAGCAAAATAAGTAGAACCATTTTCAGAATGACCAAAATAATGTAAAAGCAACATTGAAAGAATTCAAAACTCTGTAGTGACCAATCATGAAATTCGGAAAAAAAGCATGTGAAACGTGTTTTCCATCTCTCACCAGACAGGTAGTATGAATGAAGGGTGCACATTTAGCCACAGCAAATGTGTTTCATTTTACTTGGCCATACTTACTTGTTAAGGAGAGAGTAAGATGAGACAATGACTTTTTAAAAAAGTCATCAACAAAAATATTTTTTTTAAAAATAATGGAAATAAAACGTCTTTCCTACATCCACAAAATGCACTAATGAAAGGACTCCTGTGTTATCCATTTTTTTTCTCACTCCAATTCTAGGTCAGCCTAATATACAATTAGCTACCACAGTTCTCTAAGACATGTGATCCATAAAGTAACTATTAAATAACATTAGGCTCCAAATTAAGTTTCAATCATTTCTTTTTTTATCCTGCAATGAGAATCATATACATACTCCAAAAAGAGAAGGACTTTTTTTTTTTTGGTTTTTTTTTTTAATGTCAGCTTTGGGGATGATACTAGAGATCAAATATAGGAAACGTCAAAAGAATGTTCCATACATTTTAAAATTACTGAAAATTCATTGTATCGAATATTGCTTATGATAAAAATTGGGGCACTAGCTAGAATTTGAAAATACTTTGCATCACCATGCATTCATGGTGATGGAACTTCTTGAATAAATTTCAAGCATTTAAAGTCTTAAATTCCAAAAAGAAGATAGATGAAACCATTTATTATTTAGGAGAAAATAATAGATTTAGGGTAGAAAGTTTCATAGAGGTCATCAAGTCCAACCTCCTTATTTTATAAATGAGGAAACTGCAACCCAAGGGACCATGTGACTAGCCCAAGGTCACATAGGAACTGAGGTTAAGAGGCAGGATTCTCCTAGTTCTAAAAACAGCACTTTCACAGTACCATGCTATTTTTTAGTGAGATGGTCAGCAAATGGCTCAAGCATAGTGTATAAGATACATACATTAAAACTCTGTCATGTGCAGATATGTGATATATACCAAAATAATGAAAAAGTTTTAAGGAAATTTTAACTAAATTCCAAGTACTAGTCTACATCCACTCAAAATCATTTCACCTAATTTTATTCTAACATAACTATGCTTTTTGGTTTCCAAGCTTTAAGGCAGAAGTCATAGCTAGTCAGGTGTCCCTAAAATACAGAGGCAGTTGCTCCTCTATCCAAGTTCACAGGAAATCGCAAAGGAAGTATGCAGCATTTGATATATCTGGAAGAAATTGCTGTCTTTGAAAATGATGTCACGATTCTCTTGTTCCTGATGATGAGATTTCAGGCTACCACAATACTGTACCAACTAAAGGGGCTTGCATAACGTGCAAATTTTAACCTCTTACAGATTTAACACTGCAGAGTTAAACAAAGAGGTAACATTTGATTTGGGGCATAAAATGACATATCCACATTCAGAAAACAGATTGTAAATAGAGGAAAAACTGAATTGGAAAACAATATTTTGATAAAATTGCTGTCTTCTGGCTCAGCTAGTTAATCAAGCTTAAAAGCAATGAATAATCTTAACTACATTTCTACACAACTGTTTATGATAGGCAAAGGAATCAAGTCTTCAGGAAATAAATTCTGAATATTAAAAGAAATGGAGAAGAAAAGGAAAACCATTAGTTGTTTTAACTAGTAATTAAATTTATATTTTAATTGCCAGAATTTCTATTTCATTTGTCAAAGATTTAGGGAATGCAGATGGAAGCAAAAGAACATGAGGAAGCCGAAAACAGGAGTCTCAATTAGCAAAACAAAACTATATGTTTTTATTTGCCATTCATAAAGACAATGGAGAAAAAAAAAGAGCATAAATGAAATTCAGAAGATGCTAAACACACTTAATTGTATTTCATAAAGTAGAGAGCATCTGTCTTTCTGAATAGTTTTATTCACTTTTTAGTAGCCTTCAGAGTATAATAAACCAAATGATCAATATTTGCCATCTTTATTTCCCACATAGATATAAAGTTAAAGTTAATTTTGAGGATTTGACACAGGCTCCACCATTTTCAACATTCAAAAAGTAAAATTATAATTTAAAAAATAAAAACTGGTGAAAAATGTTTTTGAAAGGTGAAAACACATTAACTTATGACTGCAATCTGGATTCCAGTTGTTGATAATGGTTGAGAGCGTGTAATCTCAAAGTGTGGCACAAAGCCCATTGGTAATTCTTATAAGTTTTACACGTTTAGATGCAAGAGATGATTTTCTCAAAACTTTACACCATTACTATGAAGCACGAAGCTATTTATAGTGCAGGTCTTTATTTGTTAGCTGAGCTTAAATAAACACCTAAAGGAAAAGGTCTTTATTACTTACTAAAAAGACATCTACAACTATTAAGACTGCTCTTTTTTTAAAGGGTTATCTCAAAATGAGACTGAAATAATTCAAAAATAATTTTCAAAAAATTAGCTTAATAAACAGATGTGCTGTTAGTATCTTAAACAAACTGTTGTTCAAACAATATAGATCACACTACAAACCAAGTTTCTCCCTAAGTTATCATTGAAACTTGAAAGAAAATTTGTCCAGTCATTTGATACAGTTAGCCCCTCTGAAATTTTGTTCCAAAACAATCTATGTCATCAACCCCCAAAATGTCTACATCTATCTATAGATATGTCTATAGACTGACATATATTCCATATTTATTAAAACTAAACCATTTTAAATGCATAGGAAAGCTGTGGACACAATCCCTAAGAAAGTAATCTGAAAAGAAAATAATGCATGGTTATTTACAGAGGGAAAGAGTTTTGGTGGATGAAGTAATACCTTGGTCAAAACTTGACAATTCCTCTAATAGCACTGCAAGTTCTGGCATACTTTAAAACAAAGGATTTTCTATGTATATAATCATCTTTAGATGAATCTATCATCCATAAAACTAATTAAGAGTCTGACCTATCTAATAAATTTAATTTTTTATGCAACTAAACTTCAGATCAACATATCAGTGGTACATACATGCTATAAGAGAGTTTATCACTCAAGTCTTTCAGGTATTTGAACACTGATTAACCAAGTCTAACTGTATTATCTCTATTCAATTATATGAATTGCTTTTTCATCTGAATTCTTTTCTTTTAAATGAAACCTATGCAAATGTGCAAAAAACAAAGGCAACAAATATTTAACAGAATGAACAGAAATGGCATTTAAGCATAAACCACCCTGTCATTCAATTTGTTTTCTTCACTAATTGGTCTTCTGTTGTTAGCAGTCTTCTATCCTATTAGGTTGGAGGCTTACAGATCATCTGGAAATTTCACGTTGGTATAGGAAAGGAATGTCTGGTTGATGCAGTCTAAGGATAAAGAGAGATTATTCTTTAAATGTATTAAATTGCATTAATGAGCTAATTTTAACAGCATCACATTTTTTAAAAAGTTATGGACTATAAAACATATAAAAGAATATCAGAATAATTGGGGAGCTTTAACCATAAAAAAATACAATAATTTTTAACAGTCAAAAATTTACATAGAATAATCCCACTGGCAAAAAACTCTTGAATATCATTTCAAATGTTGCCATCTTCTTTGCCAATTATTTTTAATACTTAACACTAGTGAATTAAATCTTGGTGCCAATCCTTGCAATTTTTTTCACATTTTTACTAAGCCTTCATTCCCTCTTCCCAAGCTCCACCCCTGTGAAATGATTCAGGGAAATTTAAATTTGACAGCTAAAACTCATTGCAGCTTTTTATTTAGAAATATTCATTGCCTATCTTTTTCTTCAGGAGAAAAAAAATCTAAAATGTAACATATTAAAAGCAAATTATATATTCTTATAGACAAACTGGTAACTAACATCAAGAAGCTAATAACACTAACACAAACCATACTTCAAGGTAATTTGTGATAGAATGATTACAGTAATTCTGAAACTGCTTGTATTTATTTATATTCTTATTTATAAAGGTAACTTTATGATCTCTTTTCCCTACTTTACATACTTTAATAAAGAAGATGTTTTTAAGGCTTATTAGGGGCTACAAAGAGAAAAGTTATAACCTTCATCTGAAGATACTACCATATTCTATGGAAAAAGAAATGTTATTCCTATAAAAAGAAATAAATACTTTTATGATCTTTAAATAAACAGAACAGTACCTCTGTAAAGCGGGTGTGGGGGGAGAGGAGGTTCTTTATATTTATTTCTCTTTTTTCAAAGTTTCCTTAAACCCTGATGTTAACTGACAATTTACTTTGTGTAAGCAACATAATTTTTATTTTGTCCATTTAACTTTTCTTTTTTGATCTGAAGTGTTTAAGTTCAGCATGTGACAATTTTATTTTCCAATCACAGATTGGTTTTTACACCAGTTATTTGTATGGATTTGACAGTTTTATGTAAAATGAACATTCCTTCTGTTTTCAGTATTTTGTCATAGCTTTTCAGACTTCAAAACTGTGCTTCTCATTATGTCACACTCCTTCTGTGGCCAAGCTTTAAAGAGTAGATGAAAAAGTATGATTATGATCGTTAAACAATTATGAAATCTCTAAGTTATAAATGGAAAAATGAAAGCTTATATTATTTAGATAGTAAAAGTCCAGTAATTATCTAACATGTAAAGAATTATTGTTCCATTTAACTAAAGCATTAAATGCCAGCAAATTTACTATTGAGTTCACTAGAAATAAGTTAAATAAATATGCTCATTGATAACTTTTCCTTACCGCTAATACAAGAAGAAAAATCTTGTTCTATGAGCAGCGGCCATACTTTCAGACATGTTTCTGACTTTGAGATAATTGACAAATCCTCTGAAGAAAAGGAGGAGGCCTGCAAGTTAAAATAACATTATTTACATCTAAGACATAGTACATATTTCATACACAGAAAAAAATGTTAAATATAAAGAATATCTTGAAATCTTGTTGCCTAGGAGTTAATATGAGAACTTCATTTACAAAAGTTCATCCATTCAAAATTAAATTTTACTATTATGTTTACTTCATTATGAAGAAATACATAATGAACTTTACTCTCATTCTAAGATCATAATATAAAACAAAAGGATAAAAGTGTTAAGTGATTTTGTGTTTAACTTATGCAGTAAGATACCATTATGGTATACCATTCTAACTACCTCATTTACTAAGAGTCCCAAAAGCTTAGTCAAAAAAAGAAATATCAATGTTTTGTGCACACTCTGAATTAAATACATGGTTTATGAAAAAAAAATCCAGATTTGCACAAAAGGCAAATTTAAGATTATTTGCTTTTAAAGGGGGGTTGCCACAAAATTCCTTCAATAGCTAAATTATTCTATTAAGAAGATTCCAATTCACAAACATTTTTTCAAGAATATATCTATGGAATAAAATGAAGTATTCTTGTTCAGCATATTCAGGATAGAGACATAGTCAAGGTATGTTGCTGCTAAACAATGCTATTTGATGATGATCAGTAAGTTTATCTAATAACATATACCACTCTGTTCTTACTATATACATATACATGTATAATTACACATTTAATTACACATTTAAATTATTATTATTCAATGATTAGTATTTAGAAAGTATGATATTTAGAAACAGTATACAAAAGACTAATTTATGAATAGCTAAAAAGGAAGAAGCTATGTAAGGTGCTTAAGAAATGTCCATTATGACTTGTTAAGGGAATTTAAATATATCTCATCTCTCAATTTTTTTCTCTCTGTAAAATATTCTTTCCCAATATACAATATGTACTCTGGGGATTTATAAGATGATACTGGTAAAGCACTTTAAGATCAAGGTGTCAGGTGAAAGATTCTAGGTAAGTATAAAGTATTACCATTATTAGCAGAATTAAGCCTTTCAAATTTTTAAACATCCAATTCTCCGGTAAACATTTATAAAAGGTAAATTTTCAACCACATTAAGGTGGGGAGGTGAAAGAGAGGTATATATGGCGGTAGGGTAAAGGTTCAAGAGAAGAGGTGAGTCAAAAACCAAAAAGAGTACCTCAGAGTCCAACTGTATTAACAATTCACTTAAGGCAAAAACAAGGATGCAGATGTAACCACAGGATGAAAATAGAAAGAAATGATGACAATGTAAATGGGGCTAATTTAGGGGAAAAAATTCATGGATCTCATCTACTTCCCATATTTGTATTGGCCCCATCACTAAAATTCTGTTCCAGACACTACTCTGTTTATCCCCTCTCTAAGACTAACCAAAGTCTTTGTTCTAAAAAGTCATTCCATTGATGATTACTGTGCAGCAATGACTAGCTGCTACTTTTTGCCCTACATTCCAAACTTTGTTCATATCTTTGAAAGATAATTCCATCATGGGTGAAAAGTCACAGAAGTTTTTAAGAACTAAATTTACACAAGAGATTACAAATCTGATTTGGAACTCAGGCTGTTCTCCTTACCCTGTTGTGTTTTCCATTCTACCCTATCAGTGTTCCCCTAAAGTTTTTCTAACTCCCACACCCCACAGTGTGCAGACATATAATCAAATGCATTAATTTACTAGACTCAAATATTTAGCAGAATTTCCATATTCCCTTTGCTTAGCTATTGAAGTGCATGGAAATTTTAGGTAGAGAAAAATCTATTAATGCAAAGTTGGCATGACAACACCATATTGATATCCCCATTATAATTTTTAAAAATTAAACACACAATCTTTACTAAACATAATCGACCACCAAGAAACTGTGTTTCATCTGATCCTAAAGATCTATCACCAGTGATTAAATAAGTACACAAAGAGTGCCACCTACTGAACTGCCAACACCATTTTCTGTTATATTTCTAGAGATGTTAATTACTAGTAGTTAATGTGAGATAAAGGAAGAAAAGTTTATTTTCTTTTTAACAATGTGCACCACAAATATAGAAGTAAAAATATATCCCTTCAAAAGTCTGATTTTAATATCTGGTCCTTTAACTCATACAGAACCAAGGAGGCAAAAATTGAAAATCCACAAAACTCCTTAGCATGAATGAAAAGACAGACTTTTTAAGAAGACAACTGAACGGAAACACTGTGATCAGCAGGCATGAAACCTTCCCCTATGCCTGACTGAGTAATGATTAATGCAGTATGCATTTCAAAGGCAAAAAGGATGTTTCCATAATTCAAAAACAAGAGGGCAGATACAACATCCAAAATTAGTCATACCATCCCCCCCCTTAACTTCCTCTAAGAGCTTTAAAGAAGGTTTTTATATAAGACAAGAGTGTTAAATGTTAGCACCTTTTGGGGGTTAAATTTGTAGTAGAATTTCTATTAAGTTGTATGGTGCTAAATTATCATTCAGTCTTTTGCTTGATTCCATAAATTATGTAACTTCTTGATTTAATCCAGAGAAATTAATATTACACTACTGTAATGATTTGTGAATTATGCAAGACTTAAGAGTTGTTATAAACCTATGTACTCGTGATATATGTACTTAATGGGAAGAAAATATAAAATAATTTTGATTATGTGTAATTCTTTTTACCTAAGGGTAAATATAATATCCTGAGTTAACATGCTTTTAAAAATTACACAAAAATCATAGTGGAATATTATTAAAATGACTTAAGAATAAACTTACCAAGGACAAGAAATATCCACCAAAGCCAGTATTGTCCATTGACATATCCAGTAAAAAAATCAGAAAACTATGAAAAGAACATAAATAGAATTAAGTCATACTTGAATATCAAAATAAGATAATTGCAAAGAGGAAAACATTGTGGGGAAAGTCTTTCTACACACTCAAATAATCTTTATTTAATACATAAAACAAAGAAGGGAAAATAGAGATAGGAAAAAAATGACTTAAAGATTTTATATACATATACATCCCCCCACACACACACACGCACATACGCACAAGCTATAGGAACTTGAAAATTATCTTTTATTCAATGGAAGCCTAATTTTTTAGTGTTTTAGAAAATAAAAGCAATTTAGATATGTTTACAATAGAGTAAGAAAATGCTATATCTGAATCAAACATTTTTTCCATTAAAGAGTCAGTGTCAGTTCTCTCACAGCCATACTACCATTCCAAACACTACAGCAACCCGCTGCTTTAGATATTAACACCAAAAGCCACATTAGTTTAATCTTATCAGATGGGGATGTTCTGGTGACCCCTCAAAAGAAGAGCTTTTGACCTTCTGTACACCCCCTACTGTTAATCGCTGCCGAGAATACTAGTCACATAAAGACCCCCAACTCATTAAAGTCTTTTCATTTTCAAACTAGATGCTCCAGCATTCAGTTCCCAGCAGTGAGCTGAGCGCAGCTAAATGAACCTTGAAGTGGCATTTCAACTGTTCCTGTTAGTGACCATGGTAGACAGTTTTATATTCTCTGTGATGTGGGAATATGAACAGGCAGCTGGAGGGCAGGGTGTGATGCTATTGGAGACAGGTATCTTTTCCTTGACCAGACTCCAGACTACATGCTTCACTGGTTCAAAAAAAAAAAATCTAATCTAATCAAATGTCTACAGATCTTATTTTAGATACTTACTTTGTATTCCTCTTTCTAACACTTCATACTTTTTTTGGTACTATTGCTTTAAGATGTGATTAATGACAAGCTACTCTAGAAGTATTTTTTATATTCAATATATTCCCACTGGACTCCAAAATAAATTATGTTCAATTAAAAAGTCTTATATCCAGAACAGAAATAAGTTCTCCACTTCAATCTGAAACTAGTTAGAAGAATCTGTCTACAACTTTACAAGCAATTATTTCTAATTGTTTAGTGCTATTTTCATAAAATCTTAAAAATACAATTTTAGAAATACTGAATATGTTAACTAACTACAAAAGACATCACCATTGGGAAGGAATACCCATTAAAAATGGGGACATAATCTGTGACTACATTGTTAAAGATCTCTAAAATATTAAGGAGTTATCCAATTGATAAATAAGGCATTTTAGCTCCAAGTTTCTAGGTTAGTACTTTAAAGAAAAGCTGATCTCAATCCAAATTTCTAAGAAATAGCAGATTTTTGAAGCGTGCTGAGAAAAATTTAGAAATCCCATATTTTCCTGTGCTTTCTTTCCAAAATAAAAGGAAGTGTTTTTTAACCATGTTTCTCCTTCTAAGTATGCTTATAGATAGGTATACTGTTTGTGTTAAGGGAGAGAAATTTTTTAACAACAGACCCCAGGCAATTGACAACTCATAATATCCAAATGTTTTTGAAGCTATAGAAAGTTAAAGGAAAATACCTAAAAAAGAAAAAGAAAAGAAAAATGTAGCACATTTAGGTCATTAAATGTTAATTAGTGAGAGATGCCACAAGAAAAGAGATTCAGAACAGAGTCAGAATCCACCCAAAAAAATGCTGCCCTCTTAAGAAAAAAAAACCATTACCTTTTAATCTCAAAAAATGTAGAAGACAGATAGGCAACACTATGCAACAATAAAGTTAAAGTGCTGAGCTATATGAGGTTATTAGGGGATTAACAGATTTTTTTTAATTTAAATTTAAATACATCATCTTCACAACAATCTGTTTCTTATATATGAAACTAACTAGTCATAGTCATTAATACAGCCATGGTTAAGAAAATTTAGATTCCAGAAAAATGTTAACAAAGGTCACAGAAATTTACTCTATGTTTAAAGGTCAATGCTACTAACTGGCAAAAACATATCATCACTAAGAAATTAGGAGGTGTGAGAAAGACTAATAATTACTCTGTAGAGCAAAAGATTTTTTTAAAATCTTCCTTAATGGCTTTCTTGAACCAAATGATGAGAATTGATTTTTTATTTCCCAAAAAAAGTTCATCTTCATCTTTAAATTATATCATTTAGTTACAGGATTTGAAGGAACTTACATAACATTTTATGAAAGCTCATGCTGCAAAGTAAAATGTTCAGTTTTATAAAACTTCCAAAGTAGTTTTTTATTCTCAATCTTTGAAGCTTTTAGTTCAAAGAAAGTTTAAATAACAAATCATATTTACATAACTCTTTGTAGTTAACAAAACACTTTCATCTTAACTATATGAGGAAAATAGTTGTCATGTATATATCATTTCATGGTTTACAAATTTTTTAAAAATACATTTTACAATACACTCTATCATTTTATCCTCACAACAAACATCCCTAAGAAGTGACTAACACAAATATCCGATCACCATTTTGTAGATTAGAAAACTAAGGCTCAAAGAGTGAGCTTAATTTACTTGGCCCAAGGATGAGACAAGACTCAAATCCAGGACTGACTACAAGTCCAGTACTATTTTCACTACGTTAAACCACCTGGAAACAAAAAAATATCAAAAATTAAGAAAGAAAGAAAAAACCCAAATTTTTTTTAAAAAACAAAACAGTGGAATGCAGTAGTATTTTGCAATAATGTAATAATGGATGACCTTAGTCCTAACTCTAAAGTTTTATGCTTTTATTTCACCAAACTACAAAACTGCCTATATCTTAGTGATCCTATGATATGAACTTAGAAAGATCAAGGATAATGCCAAAATAAGTACTTCATATATTGATAAAACGATCAAACACTGAATCATTTCCCCATTTTTACTAAACATATTTTCCATAAAGAAACTTACCCGAACAATGAGGATCCATTTGATCAATGAAAGGCCAAATCCACAGATGGCACCATACCTTCCAGCAATGGTATTAGTTATACAGAAGGATAAACAAAATCCAATCCAGTTGAAAATAAATGCCACTACAGGAAAGAAAAATCATCCCTCTTAAGTCAAACCAAATTAACACATTTATCAGAACATTCAACATTAATAAAATAATCTTAATTTATATTCATGAGCATTCACGAAAAGTTTTCTGGGAAAATTACACCAAAAAAAAAGAAAAATCCAGAAAGATTTCAATTCAAGAACTCATAAAATCATATATCCACATAAGTAAACACTACAAGTCTTAAACCCATCATTTTACTTTTTTGGGGGGGGGCTAGGCAATGGGGTTAAGTGACTTGCCCAGCGTCACACAGCTAGTAAGTGTCAAGTGTCTGAGGTGAGATTTGAACTCAGGTCCTCCTGATTCCAGAGCTGGTGCTCTATCCACTGCACCACCTAACTGCCCTATCATTTTACTTTTCAAAAACAGATAATAGCATAATTGAAACAGAAAACAGAGTTGCCAAGGAGAGAGTTTTCCAAATTTACTTTGTTGTATGGATGAGAATCTTTTGCAATCACCACATTAACCATTATCAGTGGAGCAATGGTTGCTCTCTTAAGTAGGTCACACATGACATAATATTTTGCTTACACTATTTACTTAATAAACTCTTTCTTCATGAATAATACAAAGTTGTAAAACTAAGGCCCATCTCTGATGGAACTATCAGAAATTCTGAATTGGTGAGGCCTAAATTAATGTACTCAAAACTATTTAAATAAAATTTATTAAACATAGGAAGATCAAACTTGAAAGTTAGCTAGAAAGAGTATAGGGAAGTGAAAGAAAGGAAAAAAAATGAGGAATAAATGACACCTGATAGTTTCAAAAACAGAATTCTGCCAAATCCCAAGTACTTCAAAACATAAATAAAATTATTAACATATGATTTAAACTTAGAATTAATTCAAAAACATTGAGAAATTCCCATCTACGTTTTGGGGAATTGGGGAGGTACCATTTCATCTCTACATACATGCTTTTACATTTCTTTTCTAAATACAACCCTCCAATAAAGTCGACTTAGACTAGATTATGGTTTTCCCCTGAAATATGCTTTGGCTTTAAAGATTTAGTTTCAACCTAAATCCCTTTTCTTGGTTTACCTCATGCACGATACAGGTTAACTCTTCATATGCTAGAAATGACCACTATGTAGGAATGAAATCTATCTGGGCCAAAATCACACATAAGATAAAATGAACTTTTTGGTATCCAGCCTTGCAAGCAGAGGGTCTGAAATGGAGGTAATCTGAGTGTTGTCCTATATACAAACTTAAGTTAGTTATTCATAAGTTAATAAACTGGTATATTTACCAAAGTATTTTCATCAAAGAACAGCTTTTGGGTTCAAAATACATTGCCATGAGATAACCCCAAGATAAAGGAGATTAAGAATGTTAAAACTAGAATAACTTAGTGCTACTTTTAAACTGAAAAATTATTCACTTAACATATTTTTGATATGTACTTAACTTTATACATTAATATGCCAAAGCTTGTGATTTTAGGTGTTCTTCATACTGGAAGAGTCAGATAATACCACTAACTTTATTTATTTTTTTTTCCACAGTATTCCCCCATTGTCATTATGTGGAACTAGCCTGGGAAATGTTGAACTAATTGATGAGCCAGCAGAACAAATGTGTGACCAAATGTTTTCATCTAGTGTGTGATAATTTTTTTCTCATTTTGTAGAAACTATATGAAATTTTATGTTTTATTACCATCTGCATATTTTGAATAAAAGACACAATACTTTCTGGGTCCAGAAACTATTTTCCATCAAAATAGGATAAATTCTGTAAAAACCAATCAACATATAAAAACATCTTTTGGAACAGAATTATAAATAGTTAAATAACTTCTGATAATCACAAACACTCCATTTAGCAAAGATGACATCAATTGTTAAAGATTCCTCATTTTTGAACTCTCTTCCCTTCTCGATTCACAGAACTTTGAATTTCTCCTATGCAGGTAACTTGTATTAGTTACATCTAGTTTCTTCTCCAAGACAGTACTTTTTGTTGACAGAACCATGTCATTGTCACATTTATATTGTCAAGTGTCTTGTATATAGCAGACACTTAAAAGTGTTCGCTTTAACTATACCAATTTACTTCAATCCATCAATCATCAAGTACTTATTCTGTCTCTACCAGCACTGTCCTAGGTGCTGTTAGGGTATACTGAGAGTACATGAGTCCTGTGCTTAAAAAAGACAATACTACCAAAGTTAATCAACAGATTTAATACTATGACACCAACTAACAAAGGACTGCTTTGCAGAACAAGACAAAAAAATAATGAAATTCATTTGGAGGAACAAAATATGTAGAATATCAAACAGAAATCAATCAATCAATAAACATTTATTACGTATATACAATGTAACAGACACTGTGCTAAGAACTGGAAATACAAAAAGAGGCAAAAGACAGTCCCTACCCTCAATCTAATGGGGAAGATGACATGAAAATATATACAAAGCAAGATTTATACAGAATAAATAGGAAATAATCAACAGAGGGAAGGCACTGGAATTAAGAGTAGTTGGGAAAGGCTTCCTGGAGAAGATGGGATTTTAGTTGGGACTTAAAGGAAGCTAGGGAGATCAGAAGTTGGAGTGGAAGAAGACCATTCCTGGCATGGGGACCAGTCAGAGAGTGTGCCCAGAGCTCAGAGATAAAGTGTCTTGTTTATGGAACTACTAGGAAGCTAGTGTCACTGAATCAAAAAATATATGCTGGGGAGTAAGGTGTAAGAAGACTGGAAGGGTGGGAGGAAGCTAGGTTATGAAGGGCTTTGAAAACCAAACATACTGAAAGAAGTATGAAGTATAGCACTTCTAGACCTCAAATTCTATTATAAAGCAATATTCATCAAAATTATTTGGTACTGGCTAAAAAGCAGTAGGATGTAATGTTTAAAGAGCTAGCCTTGAATTCAAGAAGACCAGGGTTCAAGTCTCATTTCTGACACTTACTACATCTGTGACTCTGGATAAGTCGCTTAACCTTTCAAGGCTCTGGACAACTCTGTAAAACTGTAAGTTGCCAAGAAAATACTGACCTGGATTGGTAAAGGGTATTTCCTTGCCCATAGAGTTCTCTATACACAACAAGAAAATTATAGCTCCAGTCTTTTACCCCTATCCTAAAAGAACTGATCAGCACACAGCCTATACAAAGAATAAGAAATAGTCAAACTCAATAACTCAGTTCAATAAACCCCCAAACAGAAATTACCTAGGAAACAACTCCCTATTTGACAAGAATTGCTGGGAAAACTATTAAATAGTCTAGTAGGAATTAGATTTAGGCTCCATCTTATATCTTTCCCTCCCATGCCCCAGCGCATTAACTGGCAGCAAGAAGAAAGAGAGACCAGCAACATCGACTCCCACTGAAGGAAGCCATGGACTTTTTTCTCCCTTCTGAGCCTAGCTGAAGTAGCTGGTAGCACAGTGGGCCTGAAGTCAGGAAGATCTGAGTTCAAATCCAGCCTCAGTCACTTACTAGCTATGTGACCATGGGCAGGCCACTTAAGCTCTGGTTGCCTCAGTTTCCTCAACTATAATGTGGGGATAATAATAGAACCTATCTGAACGATAATGAGATAAATGAGAAAAAACTTGTAAAGTACTTAGCACAGTGCCTGACACAAAGTAAGTGCTAAAATAATGCTTATTCCCTTCTCTTCTTTTCAACCTGCATTGTTTCACTGTCAAGTTCTTATGATCACAAGATGCCCACAGCCCACTGTAAACAAGGATGTGAGAGAATGATTCAAATCACTAATAAAAGAAATGCAAATCAAAAAACCCTAAAGTTTAACCTCACACAGCAGAAAATGTCAAAAATACTAAAAGATGGGAATAGACAATACTGGAGTTGTGGAAAGATGGTCACACTAATGCATTGCTGATGGAACTGTAAAGCTCATCCTCGAAAACAATTCGGAATTGTGCAAAATATCAACTAAAACATTAGACCTTTAGTCTCAGAGATTCCACTACTAAGCAGGAGGTCAATGACAAAAATAAAGGCCCAGCATACACCAAAATATTTACAGCAGCTCCTTTTGTGATAGCAAAAATGAAAAAACAAAGTCAATACCCCTGTGTTAGGGAATGGCTGAAACAAATCATGGTATATAAATGCAGTATAAAAGTAATATGCTGTAAGAAAATGAATATGATGAATACAGAGAAGGATATAAAGACATATAAACTTAAGTGATGTGTGCAGAACTAGGAGGAAAATAAAGACAGTGATTATAATAACTCAAGAGAAAGAATTTAAAAAAAAAAACTGAATGCTGTAAAATTAAAATGACTAACCTTGGATCTAAAGAAGACAAATATTGGTGGGTGTAGAACAACACCTACAACATCAGACTTTGTCTATATATGTTGGTCAGTTTTGGCGTCCTTTTTGCAGACCTGAATTTAAATCTGGCCTCAGATACTTAGCTGTGTGACTCTGGGCAATTCACTTAACTTCTGTCTGCCTCAGTTTCCTCAACTATAAAATGGGGATAATAATAGCCCTTACCTCCTAGAGTTGTTATAAGGACCAAATGAGTTAATGTATATAAAGCACTTAGCACAGTTCCTGGCATATAGCACTGGTGATATTTAAATGATAGCTACTTAACATTTATATAGCTATATAGCATTAATATACAAATGTATGCATGTATATATACATATATAGTAGGTGCTATATAAATATTAGTAGTATTATCAACATCATTATTATTTCAGAAGATCTATGAACTTGCATAGGAAAAAAGAAACATCTTTATTCTCACTAACTTCTAACTGAAATTAGCATTTTCTTCAATTATTTAAAAAATTATTCTGAAAGGGGTCCAAAGGTTTCACCAGATACCCAAGGGGCCTGTGACACACATACAAAAAAAGGTTAAGAACCACTGTTATAGAGTAAACATGAAATCATTCATCAAAACTAGGAAAACTAGAACTGGGGAGTATCCCATGAAGAAACTTTAGTATCT